CTGTTTAGGCAGAGGAGGTGCGATTGTTCTTGTTTTTCCAGTAGCGCCATCTGTGGCCAAGAATTCGACTTCTGCCACACCATTCGTAATACCCATTTATAGGTCGGACCCATTTATTCATCCACAGATCGTAATTTTGTCCTGAATCAGAAGACGATCAATCTCCAATCCAGTACCTCCCGAGGTATTGATTTGTTATGGGAACATGGAGGACTTTTGCGACTCGACAGATTTAACGTGCATCAGTCACTTTACTACACGAGGAGTCTTCGGTCGGCGGGGTTCGAACCCACGAACTCTCGGACAATGGCCCAGCCCCCTACCGACAAGGCTATCCCGCCCGTATTGATTTTTAATCAAAACAAGATATATTTTTTAGTGAACCAAGTTTATAACACTTCTGCAAAAATATTACTCTAATATATTGTGTTTTTTTAAAAAATATTTTAAGGAAAAAATTTGTTATAATTCGATTTTAAACTGACATTTTTTTTCCAGGAAAAAATAGAGGTAAAAAATGATGTGAGATGACTGAATTTCGCTAGCTGACTTGAGCTGCTCGCACAAAGCTCCATTAAAATGTTTTGTTCGTTCGGCTCGAGTTAGGGAGCGATTGAAAGCTGCAAAATGGATTGATTTTTTTGAACTTTTCACCAACTGGAAAATAGTACTATATTCTCATTAACAAGGTACGTATTAACTTTTTAAACGCTCTTAGTATGCAGTGAATACCCTTGGCGGGTCACTTGAGTCGTCAAAGTATACTTTAGCTCAGACGACAAAGACGTCGCTGTGTCGAACGGTAAAGTCCTGGTTTCTTAGGACAGGTCGGCGTTACAAAACGTCAGCTTGAAGCGAGCGCTAATCCCTGATTGGTCAATTTGTGAGTTAAACAGCATACGTCATCGAACGCTCAGCTTGAACGACGACTGACATCCGAATCAACTGCAGTTGGATTACAACGTAACGTTAACGACAGAAGCAATGACGGACAACATCCAACATAGCATCGAAATCAGTCAAGATTTAGATTTTGAACCGACTGCTCACGCTGTAAGCTAACAAAACAGTATTTTGTTGGCGTCAGCGGTACGTCAACTTCTCGCTGATACCCAGAGAAGGCACTTGTCTTAAGAAACCAGGCCTTAAATGGAGCAAGGCACTACTCATGCTATTACTCGCTGCTCATCTTATCCCCCTCTAACTTCTTTATACCTTTTACTCCTGATACTTTTCCTTTCTTTCCTAAAATTTAAATAATATGAAGGAAAATAATATAAGGATAATATAAGGAAAAGATAATATAAGGAAAAAAAAAACTATTGTGTCGTTGATTGCCATACTAAAATTTACATATTTAAAAACTGCTTTCGTTTGTTTTGTTTTGTCTTTTTACTAATAAGCTGAAACACTTATGCGTAGTTTCACTGATTCACCCATTCCTTAAATGATTTACTGTCTGATTTACTGATACACCGATTTGGCTGTTTTACTAATATGGTAATTTACTAATTTTCCGATTTCCTGATTTGTTTTCTAAAGAACGTCATTTCTCTTTTTCAACCTTTACTCACTCGCAATATCAAAAATTATTGTAACTGCTCGCTAGTTTTCATCCTATCATAATGTTATTTTTGGATTTTTTTTATTGATGCTTTTAAAATAGTGAGAATCATATCGTTAATTTCCTTTAACACGCAACATTCATCCGATTTAATGATATTTATTAGACGTGCTTATGTTGTGATGGACATGCTTTGCTGTAAGCAATGTACAGCCTGCAAAATGAAAAATAAGAAAAAGAAAAGGATCCATTTAAATATTTTTTGTTCTAATCAACGGATTTTCAGATGTGCTACTTAATTAGCGCAGACGATATTTTAAATTACAAAATCAAACGACAAGAAAAAAGAAACGGAGTTTTTCAGAATAAACTTGTCTTTTTTTGCTGTTGACAGATTTGAAATCCTGATTCTGAAAATATAAGGGCGGAGTTAGCCGCAATTTTGGAAAATATGGACCCAGCATCTTAGGCAGGAGAGAGGTCGGGAGTTTGAATCTTCTAATGTTAATTTCAATATTTTCGTATGGGCCGAGGTAGCCTGGTTAGTAGGGCGTTGAACTCGCGTATGCGAGAACGGAAGTTCGAATCCAACCGGTAGAATAATCCCCGTGTATTAAATGGTGACTGGAGCATTTTAAATCTGAATCTGTCGAGATCACAAAGTCCTCCAAGTTCCCATAAGAAATCAATACGTCTGGGGATATTAATCCAGGAGCTCTCTTGTATTCGGGTTTGGATCAAAATTACAAGGATACGGAGTTGAACATTGGTAGTCGTAATTCCAGAATTGGGTCGACTGTTCAACGACGGTCTTAAAATATAAAAAATAAAAATACTTTCGTATAAGCCGCGATGGCTCAGGGGATAGAACGTTCGCCTTTCAATGAGGTGAACCGGGTTCGAATCCCAGCAATGTCTGGTTGATACGAATTCCGCACCCGGCTTGCACCGACCATAGTGCTGACGTGAAATATCCTCAATGGTCGATGAATCATAGGTTCCCTTGTCGTCAGACTAGCCGTGGGAGGTTCTCGTGGTCTTCCTCTCCATGTAACGCAAATGCGGGTTAGATCCATCAAAAAGTCCTCCAAGAAAACAAATTTCTCCCGATACTTGATCGAGGAGTTGCCCTGTCTTTTGGGTTGGGTTCAAAATTACAAGTCTTTGAACTGATAGTCGTAATTTCAGAATTGGACCGCCTATTCAAAGCAGATTATAAAATAAAATAAAATAATTCTTTTTAGATAAAAAAATCTTTCCATATATTGAGCTGTAATCTAGTGAAAATTTGTAAAGTACCAATCCAGGAACAATACCAAGTAAGGGACAGTTTCATTTAAAAGTATCAGGTTCAAAAAAAAGGGTGACTTATTTTTAAACTGCAATATTAAAAGACTGATTGCTAAAAATTGGGAAGTAATATATTTTACAATGAATAAATTTATTTTACAATGTTTACATGGATAGATATTATATCAAAAAAAGATTGCAAAGAGTAAATTGAAATAATGTTGAAAATTAATGATAAAGAAATCGAAAAAGTTCTTTATTTGAAAAATATTGATTTGGTAACAAAATAAAAACTTAATGAAAAATGGATTTATTTGTCATGTCGGTAATTAATTAGTCATGTGGGTCGCCTACTCTATAGATGATATTGAAATAAAATGTTAGCTTTAAATTATTAAAAATATTAAATAAACGCAGAAAAAGCCTCAGATTTTACATAACATTTAATTGTCAAAACTCAATGAGTGACTAAAAAACCATTGATTGACTAAAAAATATTGAAAACTGAAATTTAATGGGGAAAAATTGAACGAATTAAATTTTTTGAAATATAGGCATTCTTTCTTAAATATATGAAATATAGAACAACTGCTAGGTATACCACAGCCAAGCATTCCTGTTCAGTTTGTTAAACTTAGTGACACTGGTCAAAGTTAAAGTGAGGTTAGTTTAGTTGTTAATATTGTTCCACTAGATTTTGACAAACAACTATAACTCGTATTACAGATCAACATATGTCTATACTAATCATGATGGCTTTGAATCTAAATATTTAATTTATCTTGAGGCCACTTCTAATGATTTCATGCCCCATAAAATCATTTATCTTAGAAAAGAAAAAAGGGATTTCTTAAAATATAAATCCTAGTGGCGGTATATACAAATACGGTTTCCATTTGTGGGGTTTCGAGTTCAAAATTCAAGTTAATCGGAAATTTATTTATCTTACTATTAATAAAAATAAATAAAATTCTCGCGTGGGCGGCTATAATTCAGTGCTTGTCTCATAATGAGGTGACTCGCCTTCGAATCCTAGTGATGGCTGGTCGATACAAATTGTGCACTCGGCTCGCGCCGACCACAGTGTTGACGTAAAATAACCTCAGTGGAAAACGAATCGTGGGTAAAAACCCCTTGCCATCAGGCAAATAGTGAGAAACTTTTATGGTAGAGCCATGATGGCTCAGGGGATAGAGCGTTCGCCTTCCAATGGCTGGTCGATACGAATCCGCATCCAGCTTGCACCGACCACGGTGCTGACGTGAAATATCCTCAGTGGTAGACGGATCACGGAGAGTCCTTTTGCCGTCAGGCTAACCTTGGGAGGTTCTCGCGATCTTTCTCTCCATGTAATGCAAATGCGGGTTAGTTCCAGCAAAAAGTCCTCCACGAAGGCAAAATTTCTCCCAATACTTGATCCAGGCGTTCCCTTGTCTTCTGGATTGAGTTCAAAATTACGAGGTTACGGAGTTGAACATTAGAATTCGTAAACCCAAAAATTGAATCTGTTGTTCAACGATGGTTATAAAAATAAAATAAAACATTTCTTTCAAACTTTCATCAAACTTTCATGGTTTTCCTCCGCATGTAACGCAAATGCAGGTAAATTTCATGCAAAAGTCCCCCACGAAGGCTAATTTGAACCAATGTCTAAAAGTCCCTTGTCTTCTGAGTTGGTTTTAAAATTACAAGGCTACGGAGCTTATCATTGACAGTCGTAAAATCAGAATTCGCTAGGCTGTTTACAGTCGCTCGATTTAATAGCTGAGCACCGGGCCCCTTTAAAAATTTTTTCACAAAACTGAAATCGACCCCATCGTAAAACAAACGGGAGTTTTAGAAGAAGGTAAAATAAAAGTGGGTAAACAAAAGTTTTGGATGTGGACAATCCAAAGTTGGCCAAGACGAAGCAAACGACTTGTTGTTTTTAAAGAACAAGTCCCCAGCATGAGCAGCCCAAGTTTGGCAAAACAATATGACTAAAAAAATGGGACGAAGCCCCATAAAGGGGCCTCGAAGCCATAAAGGGGCTCGACGAAGCCCCATAAAGGGGTCTAGGTCACCCATTGCACATATCAACTGAGCATGACTCTAGGGTATAAAAGGGCTCGCCTGCATGTGATCATACAGTTTTCAGTTAGACATTATGATGGAGTGCGATATGCTAGATTTTGAATTGGATCTAGCGCCTCTGACGCCTATGGGACCTGAGATGGAAAATTCTGACACTCTGATTTGGCCTCCAGTATCACCTCTTGAGATTTCTCCACCCAGTTCACCAGTATCACCTCTTGACATTTCTCCACCCAGTTCTCCAGTATCACCGCTCCAGTCTCCTTCACCCAGTTTTATGGAGTCCATGGTGAAACCGTTTTTTCTGCCCATATCTCCAATCTCTTCGCCTGTGGATAAATCGTTACTACGTCCAATATCACCACAAGTGGAACAGCCTGTCCATAAGCCCATTGCAACTGTTATGCCTTCCAGTTCATCTGTGGATAAACCATCGTTTCGTCCCCCTGTGGATAAAAAGAAACTGAAATCTGTCATTGTGAATGAGGCACCGAACAGAATCTGGAGTCGTATGCCGATGGTGCCTGCCGGAGATGCTCGTCATCGATTGAATTCGAAAAAGTCGTATCGAGGTTCTTCACCACAGAGGGTGCAAGAGCCATCTAATTCTAAATAGAAAAGAACCACCAAAGCCCCTGAAAGACAGATCACAGCTCCTGAAAGACAGACCACAGCTCCTGAAAGGCAGACCACAGGCTCTAAAAGACAGACCACAGCTCCTAAAAGACAGACCACAGCTCCTAAAAGACAGACCACAACTCCTAAAAGACAGACCACAGCTCCTGAAAGGCAGACCACAGGCCCTAAAAGACAGACCACAGCTCATGAAAGGCAGACCACAGCCCCTGAAAAACAGACCACAGGCCCTAAAAGACAGACCACAGGCCCTAAAAGACAGACCACAGCTCCTAAAAGACAGACCACAGCTCCTGAAAGGCAGACCACAGCTCCTGAAAGACAGACCACAGCCCCTGAAAGACAGACCACAGCCCCTGAAAGACAGACCACAGCAAGTGTGCCACATACCACCGTGTCCAAACCCACAGTGTCACAAGCCTATTCATCGTATTCAAGTGCACCCACCAGGCATCAAAAGTTCAGACCATTTCATTTGAAACGGCCATATGGAAGAAGAGTACACATGCACGAGAAAGTTTCAGGTGTACTGTGCATTCAAGACAATGGTTATAGCTTGACTAATGGTGTAAAAACAATATCTTGGGACGGTAAAGTGGATCAGCAGCTACTCTTGGAAGATGTAATTTATACAAATATTAGACACACTTTGACGGTCGACGAAAATACAAATAAAACATGGAAATCAATTGTTGAAAAACTGGACACTATGCATCCCATTAAAGATTTAAAAGTTATGAAACTTATAGTAAAACAGCCTTTAGGGCAATGCTCATTTTGTACAAAACAATGTCACAGATACAAAGTGGTAACAGGGGGTTTTAGTCAAATATCTCATGTACCGTTGGATATAATTCAGCATTAATTTGCATTATATATGTATTGTAAATACCCATATGTATTGTAAATATGTATTGTAAACTTTAAATAAAGCAAAAAATGGGGAGACCTCTTGTGAGGTCTCCCCATTTCTTATAAAATATGATGTACCAAGATTGGTTGGTTTGTCTGTCAAATTTAAATCTAGTTGCGTATTCATTTGTATTGTAAATATTATTTTAAATAAAGTAGAATGCACCAAGATTGGTTTGTGTTAATTTATATCCATGGACACCAAAAGTCAAACTTTTTTTGTTGTTTTTTTTTTCGAAATTTATTATTTATTTTTCGAAACTGACTATATATTTGCTCCGGCCTCTGCGCCTTCATTCAGACCTGTTTTGATTTCTGAACGAACCTTGTCTATTTTACGACATGTTTTTTCAACTAAAGCTCGACTCTGGTAAGACTGTTGCTGCCTTTGTTGCTTTGGATGGCAGTATTCTGTGGAGATTGACAGATGTCGGACGTTTATTGGGAAGAGTCAATCCCTATACATGGGGGGCTAGATACAGAGGCAAAATCGCTTCTCAAATAATACCAACGTATTTACATCGACGGTACAATAGTATGGCATTACGATCACACCTGATTTCTGGTGATGTTTTGATAGACATTTTGATGAATCAAAATTCAGAGTTGCATCAACGTTTGACACGTCTCTTTCGAGAAGGTAAAGTGACGGTGGAAAACAGACCATTTGACAATTTTACGGTCAAAAACTCTTGTGTTGTGGTGGAATGCCAAGGTGGTGTCCCATTTAAAGACTTTATGCTTACTTTTAAATCATACATGTTAAAGACTCTGCAGGCTAGTTTTCAAAATTTGCCGTGCTCTCAGACTGGTGAATGTTCTCAAAGCAGGCCGAATGAATGCTCTAATATTGATGAATGCTCTCAAATGGATTCTTAGATTGTACCTAATGAATGTGTGCAAATGGATTCTCAGATTGTACCTAATGAATGTTTTTTTTATTTCCAATGCAGCAGGCGATACGGACATTATCCTAACGCCGTACAGAGATCAAAATAAAACAAAAATACAAATACAGAAGGAGATGAAATATACAAAATACAAAAACAAAAGCAAAACATCAAACACAGAAATTAATTCACGAACTTAAATTGAACAAAAGTTCTCTGGCCTCCCAGTATCGGGAGTAGATGCAGTTCTTTGTCAGAACTGAACAGTCTAGAAGATGTCCAGCATTCATCGTCGCACCACTGCGGCAGAGGGGGCAGGCAGGATTATCCACTATTTTAAGACGGAAAAGATGGTCGTATAAGCAGTCGTGCTTGGTAGCAAGACGAAAGGCAGCTACAGCACTGCTTCTTGGGCAATCGGGGAGATTAAAGATGTCATTTCCCCACGATTTTTCTTTTGTTCGTTCCTTTAGCAATGATATATGTGTTGTCTTAATTGCATGATTAATCATTAATGAAGTGGACTTATAGCTAACCAAGTTATTTGGGGCTTGATTAACAAAGCAACCTTTTTTGGCCAGTGCATCAGCTTTTTCGTTGCCAGGGATACCACAGTGGGATGGGATCCATTGTAAGGCAATCGTTTTATGTTTTTCACCTATCCACCTATTATGTTTTTCACCACCTAATGAATGTACACAGACTAATGCTCAGATTGTACCTAATGAATGTACAGACGAATGCTCAGATTGTACCTAATGAATGTACACAGACGAATGCTCAGACCATACCTAATGAATGTACACAGACTATACCTGATGAATGTACGCAGACGGATGCTCAGACCATACCTCAAGAATGTTCTCAAACTGTAGTGAAGCAGGAGGAAATGGAGATTCCAACGGACGGTTCTGAACAAATGATACAGACAATATATTTGCCCGAAGAGCGTTACAAATTAAACATTTACCTCAGAATTGGAGAGGAAAGAATGTAAAAAAAAAATTTAAAAAATTTTTAAAAAAATGGTTGTTTACGTGAAAGGTCAAACTGCTTACGTGCCATTGGCTCATTCGCAGAGCCGCCCACGATGTTTTCACGTGATCTCTGCCTATAAAAGGAGACGCGTTTCAGTCAAAAGCCTACAGTCAGCACCATGGACTATAAAGCAAAATAGATGTGTTTCCCAGCCATGTGGTTCATGAAGTGAAAGCCTTGTGTTTGCCTGACAAGGTAGATCCTTTGGAATCTGCCACTAAATCTGGACGTGTGACGGCTTTTGTTACCTATCAAGAGCCCACATAACTTTGAGTGTTTTACATTTTGATCGAGGACTGGCTAAAAAAACGGCATCGATTGGACAATTTCAAGAGATGTTTTGAATCCAGCTTGAAATGCAGCACTGTGTCGACAAAAAAAATTCGTTGGGATAAAATTTCCAGGAATCTTTAGAGGGATCGTTTATAGTCAAATCCAAATTTACCTTTGGATTAAGGCATGTGGAAGAGGATATGCAGCACGTTTATCAAACGTCAGATGCACCCATTGTGTGTTACATCATGTCAAAGCACGATACCGATTCGACCAAAACTCGGCGATGTTTTGTTTACAAGGACCAGTACAAGTTTAATTTTTACATGTCTCTGCCACATAAAAGGTATGCAGTGCCACCCTGTACTAGCTACCTGATATTGACTTTGCAAAAGACAACCTTTTCGGTGGATATTATTCCTGCCATGACGGAAGTGAAAGATGCCATGGATTGCAAGACACATACCAAACTTGAAAAGCCAAGGTGTTATGTTGTTCCTCCTCCCACACCTTTGCATGAAAACCGTGATGTACAGACCCCTGTTGTACAACTGTTTCCTGGAGAGTTTAAAATTCCAAAGATACCGCAAGTGTTGGATAAACCGATACCCAAATTGTTGGATGAACCGATACCCCAAGTGTTGTGTGATGAACCGATGCCTCAGGTGTTTTGTGATGAACCTCAAACGTTGGATGAACCGATGCCTCAGGTGCTTTGTGATGAACCTCAAACGTTGGATGAACCGATGCCTCAGGCGCTTTGTGATGAACCCCAAGTGTCGGATATGCCTCAAATGTTGGTGGTGTCAAATGCAATGGATACGTCTCAGCTGTTGGTTGAATCGTCCCAAGATGCGTTTTTTAGTGTGGACTTTTCACTCATTGCACCAAAGGAGGATAAAGAATGGGACAACATCCAAGACTTTTTAAACAATTTTTCGGAACCTTTGGAGGTGTTGGATTTACGCAGGTGTCAAACACGGTTGAAAAAGACAATATGCCTTTACTCCCAATAAACCACTGGATTTGTCAGTAAAAACACAAAGGGTAATGTAAATCTTGTAAATTTAATTGTATTAAATGTATTGTAAATTGTATTATTATATAATGTAAATAAATAAATTCCCTGCTGGGGTATATTTTTTTAGAACCATTGTGTCATTCTTGAAAATATCATATCTTGTCACACTCAGAATGCATTACGTCATAACACTTCCTCCTTTTCGAGTATAAAAGGGGATTCAGAGCCACTCCATTTCATATTCACCATGAGCTCCAATATATTTAGCTTCATGTACCATCGTGAGGGTTATCCTCATGCTGAAGAATTTTCAGCCTTTTTAGAAAAAGTATCTCGTGTGTTGGACCACATTCAACCGCCAGATGTCCATCTCCTCCTATGCCATATACTAAACGGTATTGCGGATCGTACGTTTTTGACTTTTTATCCTCTGTGTATAACTTTGCTTCATTTGTACACAAGTTGGATAGACCCTCATCACAAATTGTGATGGGCGATTATGAAGGATCCATAGCCTGGCGAGTTTGGCAATTTCAGGGAAAGTGCTTTCTCTGGAAAATGGCCTTTGAAAAATTTAAAAGAGAAGGTCTTCAAACTTTTATCCACATAAACTGGAAAACAATGGCGCAAGAAATTATACAGCAAATATATGCACTGGATATGCCAGACTACTTTTGTAAGGAGCCAGAGAACTTTTCCATCTGCTTCAACCCTATGTTCAGCCCTGAGATATTGAAATGTGGGCACCATTTCCACGAAAAATGCATCAACAGATGGTATGAGGAGAATAAATCTTGCCCTTTCTGCAGGGAAATTTTATAACTCTGAATTTGTTCTCCCTAAAAAAATGGGACGAGGCCCCTTTATGGGGCTTCGTCCCATTTTTTTAGTCATATTGTTTTGCCAAACTTGGGCTGCTCATGCTGGGGACTTGTTCTTTAAAAACAACAAGTCTTTTGCTTCGTCTTGGCCAACTTTGGATTGTCCACATCCAAAACTTTTGTTTACCCACTTTTATTTTACCTTCTTCTTTCTTCTAAAACTCCCGTTTGTTTTACGATGGGGTCGATTTCAGTTTTGTGAAAAATTTTAAAAGGGGCCCGGTGCTCAGCTATTAAATCGAGCGACTGTAACATCGATTATAAAATCAAATTCTTTGGTGAGTTACCATGATTCAGGGGATAAAGAGCTCTTGTCTCCCAATGAAGTGCCGAGGTTCGAATCCCTGTGATGGCGGGTCATTACGAATTTGGCAGCCGGCCCGTACCGACCACATTGCTGACGTAAAATATCCCCAGTTAATGGTAGATGGATCATGGGTTAGAATCACCTTTCCGGCAGGTTAATCGGGGAGGTTTTTGTGACTTCCTTTCATTGTAACGCAAATGCGAGTGGATTCCGTCAAAAAGTTCTGCAGATAGGCTAGTTTGACCTGATGTCCATGCGTTCTCTTGTCTTCTGGGTTGAGTTTAAAATTATAAAGCTACAGAGCTGAACATTGACTTTGTCATAAGCTCAAAACTGGATCGCTTGTTCAAAGCCGGTTATAAAATTAAATTTGTTTCGTTAAAGCATTTTTGCAACAACTAGTTGTCTGCAAGGGGTCTCATGGAGGTTAAGGCTTTCCACAATTTCGACACGAACAAAATGATATTGGTAAAGAGGTCAGCTTGTTCACAGCGTGTCCTTACTTCTTGGGCAAGCTGGCATCAATGACGTGCAAAGAGAGGC